TAGTGGTGAAGGTTTCGTGCAGGACCATCCACACTTTTTGAAGGGCTGAATACAGAAACCTGGTGCACTACGTGCCACAAGGTTCCCAAACAATCCCCCTCAGGTTTTGAATTCAGAGTTGTCCTTCTCCTAGACCAGTTGCTATCCAAGGCTATAGAACCCATTCTGTCCTGCTATTTTACCCATAGCTGGAGGGAGAGGAGGATTCACACCTTTCCCAAGGGTATTAGCATGTAAGGGAGTGTAATGGATTCAACCCGGATTCGAACTTGGCTCTGCGATTCCTCAATCTGAGCCGATAACCATTACTCCACCGTGCCTCCATATATATATATATATATATAGCTATATTAATAGATGATGATGATGATAATAATACTACAGTGCTTGCTACTTATTTGTGAGAATTGAAAGACAAAGATAGAAATATTCCGAAGGCAGAAAATAACAAGATTGTCCTATTTCATGATAAAATTCACCCCGTGCAAGTTTCAGTTCTACTGAAGAGACATGGTCTATAAAAATAAAAGAATAGTCATAAGAATTATGAGTTGGAAGCTCTTTGATTTAGAATATTGTTATTAATGATATGAAATGGAATAATACAGTGTCTCCTGTAGACTTCCTCCAAAATGACACTGAGAGATGCAATCCAAAAAGAAACAGATTGTTTGGAAGACCCTATATTTTCTGTCAAGAAGAGACAGTTGAAATAGTATGATCATGTCATAAAAGTCAACAATTTGTCCACTGCCATTCAACATGGCTAAACCATTAGCTAAAATAAGAGGCAGGCAGAGGAAAGAATTGTCAGACAATGTGACTGAGTGGACAGGAAGCTCATTCACAGAGACTGACAAGTAACTAAAAAATGGTGGCAGCTGACCAGGTGCTCAGCTATGTACTAACCCTATAATTGTACCTAAATTCCTTAAAAATTAATAATAGAAATAACCTATTCCAAGATCCAAATAAACTTAAAACGATACGCTATTATTCTGAAACCTAAATCAATTGTTTATTCTGGTTACAGCTCAAACTCTTTTACTCATTTGATACATAGATCTGTTTAAACATTTTTATCAATGACATCTATTAAAGTCTGTTCACTACTTATACAACACCAATACAGTTCTATGATTGATTTTAGGCTTAGATATCAGGTAGAGTTACTTGACTATTAAAAGAACCAATTTTACACTTTCTTGTGATAGGTTTTGTGCCTTCATTTTCAAAGCCGGTCAAAATAGTTGGGTCATCGATTTTGCATTCAATAATAATGTTAAGTGACCATTTAATATTAGTGATAGGCTTTGAAAACTTTGGTCAAGTCTGTTATATGACATACTTAAATCATTCAAGAAGAAAATAGGATCTCCCCCCCCATCTATTTTGAGAAGTAGTTTCAGCACTTTATAAGATCAATAACCCATAATCCAAAAATGCTGAGATTGGCTGAGAGCCAAGAAGGACTTGCATCTTGCAATATTCTGTGAAGTATAAATTGAAAGAAGCCAAGAAAAATATAATTTCGTTTTTTTTGGTTTTTGTCATATATTTTTTATTTTTGAAGTGTAATAATCCATTTATAATATTCCGTACGAACATAAATCTTTCAGAATTTAAGATGGCCTGTCATGAGTTATATCATATTTGTTGTGGTGGTAGTGGTGGTCATTGTCGTGGAGGTCATGGCAGCTATCTTTTGCTATGAATAATTAACCTGATCTCAGTTCCTGGAAGGCAAAAGAAAGAAAAAAATCAAGGGACTTCTCAGAAAATGCACTGATCTTGTTGGCAGTATGTTCTTGCATATTTCATGAGTCCTCAACATTCTTGGGAAATGTTTATTCAGCTTTTATCTTGTTTTGTTTATTTATTGCATATTTTTCTCTTGTTTTAGTGTAGATTCTGTTTTTTATTTATTGAATATATAAGTTCAACTCTTTGATGTGTTGTTTTTTACCTATTGTTGATATTTAATGTTGAATTTATAGACACTGCATTTTATTATATATTAAATATATATTTAATATTCCCTAAAATGCATATATATATATATATATATATATATATATATATATATATATATATATATATATTTTGTCAGAGATAGAGACTAAAGTTTCCATCTTAGTTGTTTTAGACACATTTTTGTAGTTTATGCATTTTTCCTCTTTACTTGGGTGTTGATTGTATTTAGTCTTTAGATTTTGCCTTATATTTTTCTTATTTCCATCTCTTAGAACATGCGATGACCAAAGGAGTGTTTATTCTTGTTGAGAAAATAAAAGGCCTTGAAATAGAGAAGGGTAGAAAAAGACAATATTTAAAACCTAGGTAACGTGATCCAGGGTAAGTTCAAAGAATGTATTGATGAAAATTCTCTATAAAAACAACAAAGTTGAACACAAGTGTCTAAAAACAAATAGAATAATTAAATGATTTGATAAAAACAAAAATCACATTCATGCATAATTTTTTCAGATCATTGGAGATTATAAAATCTGTAGTTTAATCTGAAGAACCAAAGATGCAGCATATTTTATTATTAGAAAAAATTATATAGTACCTATAAAAAATATGACAGGCTTTATGTATATGTGAAATGGAACTTATGTCTTAAAAACAAATAATCTATGTGCATTGTGAAGTAGTTCGATATTGACTAAAAACATAAGCAGATTTTTGTCATTTCTTATCATGCTGACTTGTTTTACCTTTACTTCATCATTTTTATTACACTTCATTCATTTTCTGTATGAACGAAGTAAATATTTCTAACAACTGGGTAAAATTTAATGATTAATCACTAATTGTTAAAATTGTTAACTTTACATATTTTACTTCTGTGTTGGCATGAAGACTCTGGTAACAGATAATGTCAATCATCAGGAATTCTGATAAGCCTTCCTGACAGAATAAGGCTGTTATATGTATATGTGTTGCTAATGATTTTGCTATAGAAATGCATTGAAACTTAGGAAAAAGTGATTATTATTAGAAATTAATGTGTTATTTATATAATAAAGCTCAACATAACCATAAATTCTATTCTAATAGTTTCTTTTCTCACACTTCTCACCTGTGAAATTCTCTTCCAGTTTCTTGCCTCCCTGTTAAAAATTAAATGTCCCATCAATTCTGTTGATGTGACATTTTCTGTTTTTCCTAAATCCTGTTCTTTTATGATTTCCTCATCACTAAAGTTTTCTTATTCTCTCTCACTCCCAGTGTCCCCTTGCATTTTAGTAGCATTATGACCTTACTTGGGATGGAATGATAAAAAAACAATGTGGAAACATATTGAATTTTATAGGTGGATATATTTCAGCATAAAATTTTTCTTTTTTATCAAAGAAGATAATTTTATACTTTTATTTTCTTATTTATTGATTAGTTTCTGTTATTGTCATTTAAAGTCATGATGATGATAATAATAATAAGTGGGACATCTGATGACAAACTTTACTCTGTAATCCAGTAGAAAATATATTTTTGTTTGTGTATATATCAGTACTGGCACTATCTTTGCAGCACAATTAATCCAATGTGACATGTATAAAATGCTTACACAGAAAAAGAGTGCATCAAATATTTTTATGAATTTTTATTAATATTTTATGTACATTTTATAGTACTTTATATATATATATATATATATATATATATTATTAGGAGGATTTGATAATTATATTAAGTAATTCATTGAGTCTGAAAGAAACCTCAACAGAATGCAGAAAGCACTGGGACGGCCGTTTCGTCCTATATTTCAGACTCATCAGCGGTGCATCCACTACCAAGAATTGAAACCCTGACAGTTAGGTTGTTAAGCAAACATCATACCAACTGTTCCAACGGGCCTCGGTAGTGGATGCGCACAGCTGATGAGTCCAAAATATAGGACGAAATGGCCATCCAGTGCTTTCTGCATTCTGTTGAGGTTTCTTTCAGACTCAATGAATTACTATATATATATATATATATATATATATATATATATATGAGACAAACTGGATAATTTATTAATGACTCATTTCACCAAGAGCATCTGCTCTCTTGGTGAAATGCAATGTTAATAAATTTTTCTCTTTATCTCATCATCTTAAGTTTTGTTTCAGATATGATTATACATTCTACGAGCATACACACACACACACACACACACACACATATATATATATATATATATATATATATATATATATATATATATATATCACTAATTTCTATCAAAGTTTTCAGTGGGTGCAGTAACTTTTTTCTGCTACTACTATAGATGTTGAAGTTGTTATAGGAGATGGGTAGCTCAAGTACTCACTCATCTACTCATACCTCCTCCTTCAACTAATATGGCATGCTAGTGATGAGAAATTTTTGCCAAGATACCTGGTGAATGGATAGAGCACAGAATATTCATAGGTGGTAAACATAAACTGCTTCGGTGGGAATTTGAACTCACTTTTGAGATTTCAGTTTTCTATCCAATAATATTGCATCACCTTCACTTCCAGTACATACATAGAATCACATGTATAGAGCTCTGAGTTATTGGCTATTAAATCTAAAAAGAGTAAAATATATTCAAAATTAGGTACTTTAAATAAGAGGCTTTATTTTTTAAGGTATTAAAAATAGATTAAAAGTTTTGCCTTCATGAATGAAGAGTAGAATGATTAATAGAATGATAAGTAGAGTCAGTTAATGTCAAACAATATATTTACCATTCATTTCTTAGATTCTTTTTTTGCATTCATTCTTGCTTTTTATCATGATGTTCCAGCTCAACATGCCCACTTCCTGTTAAAGCCATGTAGACTCAGAATATAAAAGCAGCTTTCAACAAAAGCTGAAATACATATATACTCTATCACATATATGAGATATTCATCTAAAATGATGAATATCACAGATGCTCAGTTTGCATACCTTGTATCTCAGATGCTCAGTTTGCATACCTTGTATGCCAGATGTTCAGTTTGTGATATCTCATATCCTGGATGTTCAGTCTGCATATCCCATGTCTTCATTTTATGTATCCTGCATCCCAGATGCTCAGTTTGCATATCCCATTTGTCTTCATTTCAGATGCCCATTTACCCTCATCCCAGATGCTCAGTTTGCGTACCTCACATCCCGGATGCTCAGTTTGCGTACCTCGCATCCCGGATGCTCAGTTTGCGTACCTCGTATCCCGGATGCTAGGTTTGCATATCTCCCATCCCGGATGCTCAGTTTGCGTATCTCGCATCCCGGATGCTAGGTTTGCATATCTCCCATCCCGGATGCTCAGTTTGCGTATCTCGCATCCCGGATGCTCAGTTTGCATATCTCCATCTCGGATGCTCAGTTTGCGTATCTCGCATCCCGGATGCTCAGTTTGCGTATCTCGCATCCCGGATGCTCAGTTTGCATATCTCGCATCCCGGATGCTCAGTTTGCGTATCTCGCATCCCGGATGCTCAGTTTGCGTATCTCGCATCCCGGATGCTCAGTTTGCATATCTCGCATCCCGGATGCTCAGTTTGCATATCTCACACCCCGGAATAGAGTTCGGAAACATCTACACAGCCTTGTGAATGATGAATTATTTTCCACCCAGCAACCACTTATCCACAGACAAAATATTGCATGCATTTTGCTAGCCTGTTGTTATTTCTATGGAAATTCTTTTGAAGTTTAAGATCCTTAGTTCTACTAATTCGGACCTTTATATCTAAGAGCTTCCATGCTATATATACAGGATTGAATCATGATAATTCCCTCCATATTCCACTAGTAAGCAGGAAGATCCATTTGGATATGTTCTTCCCAAGAAACACTACTTTGTGCAACAGACTCCCAAGAGGATGCTTACTTGATCACTACAGTCTTAACTTCTTCAAGTCTTTGATTAAGGGTTATCTACTTTCAGCAACTTTATTCAGTAACCTTCTACCTTGGAACTGGGAAGTTTTTCTTGCATTTGATAATATTACATTTTTGCCACTATATTTTTGGTCATCATGCCTACAATCAAAATGAAGAAGTCAATGTCAGCATAACTCAAATTCTCCTTCCATCTAATATGAATAACAAATTCTGTCAGAAAATTCTTTAAGTTAAACTAAGCTCTAGTAATATTAAAAATTAATAAATAATATAATAATAGAAATAATATATATATAATATAGTAATAATAATTTTATACTAAATAATAATAATTAAAATATATAGAATTTATAATAATATAGAGTTTATCATAATCATAATAATAATTTCATACTAAATAATAGTAGTATTTAATATTAATATTAAATACCAGCTTTTCACTGTTCTTATTACTTTAATGTTTATAGTCTAGATCAACCTCAGTCAGTCATGTGCCATGCATGATACACACTTAGGCGATCATGTATCTTTCAATACATGACTGATAAGGCAAAATTTTTCCTGCAGTAGGTTGCCATTTCTTTCTGCGGTAGACCAGTTGCCATCCAAGGCTATAGAACCTGGTATGTCTTGCTATTTACCCATAGCTGTGGGGGAGAAGAGGATTCATACCTTTCTTAAGATTATTAGCACATAAGTGAATGTAATGGACTTGACTGAAATTCGAACTCAGCTCTCCGGTTCCTCAATCCGATCCACTATCCATTACTTCACCGTGCCTTAAAAGCAAACTATAAAGAAAACTAGTCAAAAATTAATAACGAAAATAATTTACTTCAAAACTGAAATAACTTTTGAAATTGTTTGTGAGCATAAATTTATAATGCTTGACAAGGGCCAGAGGAAAGGACCCTTTAAGTTGTTACCAAAAATCCAAGGCACATT